AAAAATGTAAGAATATTATGTTTTTTTTCTTTCTTCTTCCTACACGCAATATTAGAGGGGGTCTTACTAAGCCATGGAGCTGGTGTCCATGCTTTTGGGAGGATATGAACAAACTTTCAGAAAACAAATGCAAAAAACTGCAATGTGATAATCCATGTTATTACAAAGACACTAACTAAGCCTCAGTTTATTTCCAAGAGAGAAAAAAACCCCATGGTCTCCATGTAGCTGCCTCAAAAAAAAAAAAAAAAAAAAAAAAAAAAAAAAAAAAAAAAAAAAAAATTCCTATCTGGTGGCAGAAACTAGTGAAATTCACACTAGAAATATGACAAAACTTAGCCGCGGGGTAATTAATGAAGATTACCTAAGGATGGGAAAGTTTCTCTGTTGCTAAAAGGATTTAAATCAGTAACAGATGGCTTTGTAAAACCACGATTTCATCCAGCCATTGAACACAAATGTAAGACATAACATTGCTGTGCTTGCCAAAAATATTCATAATGACTATAGTCTAAGTTACAAGAGTAAAGTCAAAAGCTTACTTTCCAGATCATATTTGAAGTTTTTATAAAGTGTTTACTGGAATAAACCAAAAACCTATCCTATTGCTAAACATGAACCTAAAGTTACTCATGTGTGCATTATTAGAAAAAAAAATAAAAAATCAGGTATTTTAAAAGTCTTCCTAAACACTTATATTGCTACTTCCTACATGGAGAGGACAGATATCTTTATCTAATGCAATGATAAAATAATGCTGTCTATAATAAATTATCTTTTTTTCACCTATCACTACTTAAAGAAAAGTTTGTACAAGTAAATTCTGTAAGCTCCTGAGGATGAAGGAATACAGGCAGTTATACTACAGACCATTTTGCATGCTTTAGTACAAGCACCAAATGAACTGTTCTGCAGCAAAATGATGAGATTTCTCCTATTGCCATCTCTGGTTTTGATCCTCAAATCAAACCTTGAATTTTTCCCTGTTTTTATTTTCTTTTTCTTCCTTTTTTTTAAAATGGATAATACACTGGGTTTATCTAGTTTACATTTTAACTGAATGTAAATAAGCAGCCATCCTATTCTGAAGACAATAACATTTCAATTTATCTGGAAAAATAAGTGATTTTATGGCACAATAATGCAAAATTCAATGCCTCATTTAGAGAACAAATGCGTTATTCTGGTAAAATAGTGCAGAATTAGTTTCACTTTCTAAGTATTCATATTATAACATTATTGTTTGGTATGAGATATGCTCTGTGGCAGGTGGAAAATCCCCACACATCACATCATGCAACACCTGCAAAACAGCTGTATAGTCACAGATACAAAAATAAAAAATAGTTAATAATCCACTGGATTTAAATTCACGGAGATAGTCTATATTCTACTAAACTAAAGGAACTAAAAAAGCTATTCTGAGTTAATAAACCTCTTCCACTTCAATGAATCTCTTTATTTGGAGATGGTTATACTTGTATATGTCATCAAAGCAAATCTCAAAAGAAAAAACAACCCCAAATTCAAGAATACTTTAAGTCATGTTGTAAGACAGCACTCTCTGGACAGCAGTATTCAGTGGTTCCTCTATTTACACTGAGTTTGATTACTACCCTAAACAAAGTAACGGAGGGTTAAGCACAAACAGATTATTCATAAATAAGAGATTTATGGTCAGAGCTAATACAATACTTTCTTTCAAATATGTCAAGTAACAAATCAAATCAGCTTATGGTTCAATTTTTTCTGATCAAGCATTTGCAAACTTGAGCAGGTGTACTATAGAAAGCCAGTCACTGATGAATTAACAATGATCTACAATGGCTTTAAAATTGGTGTATACATTAATGACAGTTGTTGGTTTTCAAATCCCCTTCTAGTGGAAACCATAATTTTTAGGTTGGATAGCACTTGCCCTTATATGTTGCTATACTTTTATCTGTCTTTTTAATTAGGTGGATACCAAAACTCAAGAAAACATCAACTAAAATAGTGAAAAGTAGCAAACAGGGCAAGTTATATGAGCTCTCTCAATTATAACAACCAAAACATAACCATACTCCATTTCTGATTGTTTATCAAAGCTAAGAAAAATCACTGTTGAATTGCTTATGAAAATCCACATATAATGACAGCTGTCTCTAGCTAACTGTTTCAGCTCTAAAACTACTCATGCGCTTTTCCAACACATTTTGTTTGTGCTCTATCCAGAAAAGCCACTACTCACAATTTTTATCACAAAAAAGCATGGAAAAAAGCCACATATTGTCTGAAATTTTAATGAAGAGTCTGTGAATGTGATTTCTAAAGGCAAGTTTAATGTTAATCTCTGAAGTCTCATGTTAAAATTAATTGTACATGTTGGACAAAGCAGTATCATGTGGCTTTTCAGAAAAACTGCAAACTTGATAAAAAAATCAGTGAAATGATACTGTGCCACCCCTGTTGCAGCAAATAGGCACTATGTTTACCTATCTACTGAAGCAAGACACCTTTTCTTCCTTTTCTGTGTAGACCTTTTATTTGTTCTGCTCAACATGTGTCATCTTCAACACTGAACTACTTTAGTATGCTCAGCAGCTGATATCAAAGTTTTACCCCCTTCAGAAGTGCCAGACACCGTAATTACACATGAAGAAATGATGCCTTCTCTTCACCTAGGCTCATGAACTCTCCTGCTTCCAAAGAAAGGATCTATCTTCCTGTCAAACCTGTCTTTCCACAGTGAGGAGTAAAGGAAAAGGTTCCCCTTATCTCCAGGACCCCAAGCCACCAACCCTTCTTGAGCAACAGCAAAACATCTGCTCTCCCTTGCATTTTGTCCTCTGCCAAATGACTCTCACTTCCCTAAAGCCTGACGCTTGCCGCAAGTGTTATAAATGGGACTAATTAGGATCCTAGTTGCCCATTAACTCTTTTATTATTCATGTGACATTTATGATAAATGCATTATATTACTTACAAATGGTTGAGGTGGCACTTACACACAGCAGCATAAACTTTAGAGTCATGGAAGAAATCATTTAACAATAAGACAGACTAACTACACCAGTTATGATAACACTTGCTGCAATGTAATGTCCATTTAACTCTTGGTTTGACACGAGAATAAAGTAGCTTGGCATTCCTAGAAGGGCAGGTGGACCAGTCATTTCTATTTCGACAGTAGTATCTTTTGCATCGGTGTAAGTATCTTTGAAGATGGCTTTCTACAGCTAGACAGTATTGTGCACTGCACATGGAGTTCATAAAATAGAACCCCCCCGCCCTTCTCCAACATAAAGGTCTTCGACAACAGCAAAGTTGTGATTTCTCAGGATTACCATATCCTCTTAATTAAGTTGCAGAATTCAGAACAGAATAACCCTGATGAACATAAAGTACACAGAAATGGATCTGATTTGCATGTAACAACTGCTTCTTTCAGAATTAATTACAAATATGCTGGACTGTGTAGAGTGTGGATTAATGCAATGCATGTACATGTTTAACTGCTTTTCTAAGCTAAGGCTAGGAGTAAATTGTCTAGACAATTAGTTACAATTCTTCTACCATTTGCCAGAAAACCAGTAAAGCTTTGTGCAGAATCTGTCACCCGACTTCATGCATCCCTACAGAGCTCTTAAAAAAATCCATATGCATAGTTACTATTCTGTAATCCTCTCCATTAAACCACACGTTATTCAACATCAAATCTATCTGTGAAATCAGACAGTACAGGCTGTTCATACTGCCTATAGGTTAAAAGCCTAACAAGAAATCATCTTCTAAAAATAAAGCATTGTTTAAAAAAATCCACCTAACATCAATAACCACAGTTTTGGAAGCATCCTTGCACAGAGTACGTATCAGTACAATTAGTAAGCTATTGTTCAGCAGTTTGCTAAATGCTTAGTCTTAAGCAAACAGTAGGAAAAATGTAGAGAGATCTACTTCAGAAGTCTGCAAAGCCTGTTCCTTCATTGTTCCAGTGTGAAGGAGTGGTGCAACTATATAAATTCAATCCCCATGGGAGTTCAATGCACACAACAAATGAAAGCTGCATATTAGATCCTCTCCTGAATGTAAAGGCCAGTTCTGCAGAAATAAATGTTGTAGCACCAGTGAATGCTTTAACAAAACATGTATGTGCCTGAAGAAGAAAAAAATCAAATCAAATCAACAGATCTTACAGACAAGACTTGGTTGATCCATCCTGAAAGATTTTCAGGATTTTCAAATACCTAGTTTCACAGAATCACGTCACTTTGTTGGTCATGAAAAGGTTGTGGGGGGAAGAAAATTCCAAGTCATGATTTTGTTGCAAACTGCCCAGTAACACTAAAAAGGAGTACCAACTATTTCAACAAACCCTAAAACACCAACCAAAACCCCTCCAAAATATAAAACATGAAGACATTTTTGATATGAATGAAGAAAACAGTTAAATATACCTGGTTTATAAAGTAATTTATATTGCAATAACATTTGTTCCTTATGTTTTGTATGATTCTATTTACAGTACAGTGTTGGAAATATTTAATTTCAAGCCAAAGTAATTTGCTTTATTCTCCATGGTTTCTACACAGCACTAGACCACTGATATTTCTGACTGCAGAAATAGTTGAATAAAAAGTCATTCATTTTGGTGACTCTGTAAAAATGTTTAGAAGACCACAGAGCTGATAGCCTACAATAAATACTGAAATTAATCTAAATTTCAATTCAGTAATACAAAGAAGAATAAAACCTCCCAAATTTTTCTGACAGCCTATTCCCAAATATCAAAAAGAAGAAACAGAAGATTCCCAGCCAAACCGAATGTTGTTCTTTTTAAACTGCTTTTCTAAAGGCTGCATGAAATTTTAAAATAGATTAAGTGAAGCACACTATTGGTGGTAGTGCACTGAACTTGCTGTTCAGAAGCATCACACACTTTTTCCAAAGTAAATTGTACAGAGTGAACATCACTATTTCCCAAAAAACCCCACTGAGAATCAAAATTCAGGATCTCCTACCTCGATCAAAAAGTCTCCAGTTCTCAGGCCAGCTTGCCATGCTACTCCCCCTTCATCCACAGATTCCAAGTACTGCAAAGCAGGAAAGGCTGGAGTTGGGGTGAATTCTTCAATTGGTGTGTCAGCTTTAAAAATAAATACCACATTAAAAAAAGAAAGTTACGGAGTGCTTGCAAATACCACTTGACTAAAGGCCTCTTATTGGCCATTCAGATTTATGGTTAAAAAATGGTGGGTGCTAAAAGTAAGAGGACTCTGCCTCAGAGGATAACAAGATGCTGGGAACAGAGTGCAATCTCTCTGCAATAGCAATCCACAGGTCTTCAATTCAGAGAGAAAAATACATGCTCCTTTACTGACACAAACCAGATCAAGCTATATGAAGCAATAGCTGGATTCTGAGTATTCCAGGATATTCAGTATTTGTTCAAGTAACCCTTTTGTATGTCTAGAAAAATGGTTGTAACTTTGGCAACATCTAACTAAAAATGAATTATGTCCTGTAGCCAGAAAAGAGCATCTGGCCAAACAGGGGGGATGGGGTGAGTGGGTAAGTATGAAAAAGATCAAACTGAATTTTTCTTTTAGATTTAGATGTATATTGCAAAGAAGGAAACAGAAGAAATCACTTTTAGGAAAGGAGGCACAGCACGGCTTGTAACAGCCCTCTCTCTCTCTGTCACATACACATACAAGCAGAAAAGTCCTTGGGTCTTTCACCTGAGGTGCCCTCACTGTTACAGAGAAAATCTGGGGAAAATTGTTGGACTTACACAGAGGGAGTAACCTCTGCTCAGTGCACAGATAACTCATGCCAATGGGGTAGCTACAAGGTAGCGCTATTGGCTTTGTCAGTACAACTCCAAAATTTTTTATTTAGCTAAAATTAGAAAAGCTTTTACAACACTGGAAATCTATGGTGGCACTGGTTTAGGGGTGGGGAACAGGAAGAGCAAAAATGATGTCCCAAGAATGAAGATATGGAATAATTTTCATGCTCAAGCAAGGCAAGGGAGAACCCATGTAAAATGAGGGGGAGCAAGAGATGGGACATACCATCATATATTTTTTTTAAATACAAAAGGAGCAAACTGGACTAAAAGTTAAAAAGCAAAGCATTAAATAAAATGCTTTTTTTAACTCTTAAGAATACCATTATTATAGATTTTAGTCTACAGAAAAGTAACATGCAGTTTAACATATGAACAGCTTTTAAAATGAGCACACTACAGGCCATGCAACATACGTGCAGCTTCTGAAGATATAAAAAAAGATCATATTTTCATACTAAAACTGCACCAATGTCACCTTGCAGAAGATCCACACCTATTTTAAACAAAACATCACTCTCTTGTCTATTTCTATTCATAGACCTATTTAAATAGACTGACATTTGAAATAAAGAAGCAGGTTTTATAAGGAAAGCAGGTTTCCCATAGTTAGGTAAACTGCATAACAAAACAGATTAATGACAAAATATTACATATACCATCACAATAAAAATACAGACAAAACTTTCTTCCCCCCCAAACGATTATACAGTGCTTCTCCTATGTAAAAATGCAAACTGCTTCAGACAGAAGCCACTAAAATCCGTCTGAGTAGTATAGCATACAGAGAATCCTGTTGTCTAGCAACCAAGTGCACCAAGAATAATTCCTGCTTATATTCAGAGATGTATAAATTTCTTCATGCCAGTGCACATCACACACACACACACACACACACACACAGAAGCACATACCTTTTGCCCCTCTGAGCACAAATCCAAATCCTTCATTGTCTTTTTTCTGCAGGACCACTGCCTTTTCTTCTATTATGCAGTCACTGTAGAGAGAATTCCGAGGATAGCGACCATTATTACATCCCTTCATCACCACTGTAGTAGCTGCTCCTCCAGTGTGCAGGTTCATCATCATCACAGCCCGTTAATCAAATAATATTGCAGTAACCAAGCATGTGAAAATAAAGAACAAATAGTAGCGAGGGGAAGACAAAGACTAAGCTTAACGATAAAAGAGAACATGACAAAGCAACTTAAAGGGAATAAAAAAGGCAGAGAGGAAAAAGAAAGAAGAAGAAATCATGCATGGTGGTTTGTGTTCTATATGAATGACTGAATGAACATGTGATCATGTAATCTGTGGGCTAGCTAGGACTCTAAAAGGAAAAAAAGTAAGTGAACTGAATGACAGTATCATTAATAAACTCCTCAATCGTGGATGTACCAGATGCATCTTCTAGTGAAGCCAAAATGAAACCAACCAGAAGAAAAATGAGGCAGCATTTTAAATTTAAAGATAATAAATTATGATTTTATATTAGCTAACTAAAAGGCACAAATATATTCTGAAAGCTATGCCTTGCATCAAAAGCCCTTTTTCAATCCTATTGAATGTTGCATGCTGCAAGAATCCCACATGATCATCTGACAGCCTACAATGCTAACAACGTGCAGCTGCCTTGGCGTCATCAAGCACAAATTTCCACAGCATCAAGAATCTGCATAATTGAAATAGTAACAAGGCATGTACAATCAGGAAAACACATTTCTAAGGAATATTTCCCATCTTCTGAGAAACAATTAATATTATAAAACTAGGAGATGCTGTAAAGGACTATTTATGTAAGCAATATGTCCTTAAAGAGAAAGTAGCCTTAGGAATCTTACTGTCATTGGCTAAGAAAAAAGTAGATGGTAGACCAAAAAAATGCATAAAATCCACATTAAAACAGGACTTTTCATATACAGGCAATGTTCTGTAAAAGCTTTGTTTAGTGTCTTTCATTAAACAATCAGTTACTAAAAATAAGCTCAAAGAAAAAAAAAAAGACAAAATAAAAACAAAGAAAAAAAGGGTTTCGACGCTCTTTTAATATAAAACCATTACACAGCACAAGTTGCAAGACATTCTTCTGAATAAAGACAGTGTCAGGGGTTAAGTCTTCATGAATCGTAAGCACTGAAAAACACACTGCTAGGTTGCCTTTAAAATACCTACAAAACTCTTTAGGACAGAAGGAAATATAAGCAAGTTTTCTGTCCTTTTCTTGATTTTTTACTAGCAAACCTAGTTACCACTGGTCTTGTACAGAATCTAATCACTGAAGCATTCAATACAGTAAGAGACCGGATCTGCTTCGGTGCCATTAATAATCCAGAAGGGGAGGAGGAAACTAAGTAAAGAAAAATTGGTGTAACCTTTTTATTTAAAGCTCTGAACAAAGACAAGAATGATGATAGCAGGACACCAACGGACAGCCCCCAAGCTCCAGATCTTTCATGTATCACAGACTATTCCCTTTGGTGACTTTCTAACTCTGGCTGAGGGATGCAACTTCATGTTACTGCTAAAGTGATGATATAACTATGTCTTCCAAACTACAGAGTATTTAAACACCACACACGAATTAAAACTACCACGACGATGACTTTCTGAGCAACAGATGATCTCCATAAGTATCAACAGCTTTTGAATGCTGTCTCTCAACTTACTATTATTTACTGTATAATTCAGACATTACCTTTTCTTACTAATAATCCCCCTGCTATGACAAGGATATAATATGAAAATGTCCATTTCTTGAGAAAGCCAAACATACTCCTGGTCAGGGATATTGGGGTGGGATGGAACATGCAACCCTCAGAGCCCATACTGTAGTGCTGAAGCCCTCCATCAGTGTCTTGTTATAGAAACTAACCGAACCTACAAGCATACTGACTTATTTTCTTCATTTCAGCACACACAATTTCAAGGTGGGGCTCCGCACTTACCCACTGAAGTCAACAGCAAAGCTGTCTCCAGCATTTTTCTTAATACTGGGTCAAATTAATAAACCCCATTTCCTTCAAATTTCCTTGTACACAATCAATAGCTTAACAGAAGTTAGAAGACTACTTTTGAGAACCTAATCATAGAAAGTGCTTGGTTGAAAAAACACCCCTTCTTTCCCCTACTCAAATTCCACTCTTGTCTCATTTCATTAATATAAAGAATTCAGAAGCCTAATAGCTAGGTACCACATCAAACCTTGCTCTGATCCTTTCATTTTTGTTGACAACACCAAACAACTTCATGATACCATTCCTTAAAAAGCTGAAGTTCCAAAAGCACTGCTCAGAAAACTTGGGATCAATTCACCTCAACACTGCTAGTCATCTACACCTAAAGAAAAGGCATCTAGGGTCCTTTCACCTTTCAAAGACAGCTAATGAAATGAACAGGCATTTTCAACATGCTCATGTCATCCTAATGTAGAGGTCTTTGACTGCTCAGATCAACAGTATGAAAACCACCTATGATGTTCTTTTCATGTACAGCACATTTATTGCATAAACTATCCTGTTTTATACTTCAGTTTATACATCAAGAGTGGGAATACTAAATTGCCAAAATTTTATAAAGTTTTGTGCTTTACATGCAAAGGGGAGGGGAAAGGGAAGAATCGCAACATGAATTTTTGGTAACAAAATATACAAACTGATTTTTATTATTTGACAAATACAGCTTACTAACATACTGTTTAGGTCATGTACTACATAAGGAAAACTCCATCACAGCCTGTAAAGCAAAAATGTAGGTTTGAAAAAATCAGATGTGTAGCCATTTCTTCTCACTTACATGCCAGGAGAAGGGGACCGGCAATAATCTTACAGCATGAGCAGTTTTACCTTATTTAAAGCAATCACAGAAAGCAAATTGATTCTCTACACACACCCCAGTGCTGCAGAGCTAAGAACCAGCAGCAGGAAAAGGATGGAAAACAAACATGCACACACAAATGAACCAAACTTGCAACCTCCACACCCCTTCTCCCCGTAAACTCACTTCGCATGCCCAAGGAAAGGGGGCAGAAGAGGGGAAAAGAAGTTTAACCTCTGACTGTTTGCAGTACTGCTTTTTGTTTGCTTTGCCATGACAGGGTTCTCTTATCACAGTGTCAGACTGGACCTCTTCACTGAAGACATGCTGAAGGTCTGTTCACAGTCTACCTGGTCTTGGCAGGCAAAGCGCTGCCAAATGTAAAAGTAGGTCAGAATTTCTCACAATGAGCCTTCTTGGCATCATGTCTTTGATCCTGAAGGTGTTGTAAACACTTAGCAACAGAATGCATATAGGGTACAGCTACCAGTGACAAACAAAGGCGACAGTACGTTAAGCCTGTTCAGAGGTCTGTGCTCAAGCAAGAGGAAGAGGCATTTCTTCACAGATGCTTTGAGTACAGCGTACAGCTCTACATGAGGCTGAACAGTTGCTGCCACCTGGGATACACCAAATTGCAATAGGTAAAATCTTTAAAATTCTTTTCAGTCCCATCTCAAACTGAAATTAAACAATGTCCATTTCAGAGACAAGTTTTCAGAATAGTACTAGTTTCATATTATGGTAATAAAATAAGTAATTAAAAAATCAATAGCTCATTACTTAAATAGAGCACACAGTACTTTGACTTTGGGCTGTATAAGTCCAAGATTCATTGCATACAAAGTTAAATGCAAAATACATCCTATCAAATGCAGAATATTTCTGCATGAAGTACAATCTTGAATATAAAAACTTCAGGCCAAAGAAAAAGTCAATCTAAAATCATTTCTGCTTTATCCAAACACAAAATATCAGAGAACGTACTTGATCATCGGTTCTGTAGCTTCCCTAACACTTTAAGGATCAAGAATTGTGTTAGAATTTCCATAATTTTACAGACTTACCAATGGAGAAAGAGGAAAAAAAAAAGAGATTTACCCATGGTCAGACAGACACCTGAGTTTTGAACTCAGCGCTGTTACGTTCAACATAACAATCACTGTTTGGGTCGTCTTTTCAAGACAGCAAGAATTTCTACTTTCCTAATAGCCCATTAAGACAATACTCGAGGAAGGAAATAGAAATGTCAAGTCCTTCATAAAGATCTGTATGAAGTAAATAAAGGCTGAAGCACAGGTGCCTTTTGATGGGAGGCAAAACCATGAAACCTAGCTTCCATTTCACTACCTAGAATAACTACACCCTATCTTAAAGCATGACTTATTCCAAAAGTTAAAATACTAAATTATAGAGATGGAAACTATCAGGACCACAGAATATGTTTAGGCAAGTTTGTATTGTGTGTATCATTGCTGATTGCAATCTGAAAAACAGCACGTAGAGTACACTTTACTGGAATGATTATCATTATCTGGAAACAAAAATGGCTATTTGGTGTATTGTCAATCTCTCCCTAAGGAAAAAAAAAAAAAAAAAGAATTTAAACAGGAATTATTTTCCTGGCTCTCCCCAATCATGCATCCCCTAGAAATGTAATCGAAGACTAACTTTTCAGCTTTAACAAACTGGACTACAGCCTTCCAAGGCAGAACAGTTGTCTAACAGATCACACATGAGATTCAAACAACCAGAGTTACAACCAAATGAGTAGCCTTCTCAGCCCACAAGCCCTTCAGCCAGACAGCTTGCTCTATCCCTGAGTGAAAAGTTATTCTCTCCAAGTTCACTTCTCCCAGTTGGCCAAGTAAATCCAAATCCCTTAGATCTTTTTTATATCCTCTCCTCAGTACTCCTGCAGTTTCAATCTTCTTGAAAGATCTACTGAATTCACAGCTAGCTACATGTAAAGAATGATCAAATCACAGCCCAACAATAAAGGAAATGCTTTTTTTATACTTTGCCAGACACAATAAATCATTATCTAAACCATTCCATAACTTTATATACAATGTCTGAAAGCAGTCACACTAATTCCTTTCAGGCTAAGCTAATCAATTTATGGTGGTTATGTTCAAGCCCATAGAAGGGCATTCAGGAAATCTGTTCAAGAGGAGCTCTTCA